TCAATAGATATTTGCCAAGGACTTGGTCTAGTCACAAGATGAAAAGAAGAGAAAAACTACTCACATTACCCAGTTAGTTGCTAAACTTATGCAATTCAGCTCTTCTCTTGAGATGAGAAGGAAACTATTCTAGAATCATAGAATTGTGGAATGGTTTGGGTTGGAATGGATCATTAAGATCATGTAGTTCCAACCCCCTGCTACAGGCAGGGACACCTCCCTGTAGACCAGGTTGCTCACAGCCCCATCCAGCCTGGCCTTGAATGCTTCTAATGAGGGGACATCAACAACCTCACTGGGCAACCTGTTCCAGCACCTCACCACGCTCATAGTAAAGAATTACTTCTTAGCATCCAGTCTAAATCTACCCTCTTCCGGTTTAAAGCCATTTCCTTTCATCCTGTCACTACCTGCCCTTATAAAAAGTCCCTCCCCAGCTTTTCTGTAGCCTCCCTTCAGGTACTGGAAGGCTGCTATAAGGTCCCCTAGGAGCCTTCTCTTCTCCAGGTTGAAGAACCCCAGCTCTCTCAGTCCGTCCTTGTAGGGGAGGTGCTCCAGCCCTCTGATCATCTTCATTGCACTCCTCTGGACTTGCTCCAACAGCTCCATGCCCTTCTTATGTTGGGGGCCCCAGAACTGGACACAATACTCCAGGTGGGGTCTCACAAGAGCAGAGTAGAGGAGCAGAATCACCTCTCTGGACCTGCGGGTCACATTTCTCCTGGTGCAACACAGGATACCATTGGCCTTCTGGGCTGCAAGCACACACTGCAGGCTCACGTTGAATTTCTCATCAACTGACACCCCCAAATCCCTCTCCTCAGTCTCAAGCCATTCTTTGCCCAGCCTGTATCTGTGGTTGGGTTTGCCTTGACCCAGGTGCAGGACCTTGCACTTGGCCTTGCTGAACTTCATGAGGTTGGCATGGGCCCACCTCTCAAGCCTTTTGTGGTCCCTCAAGATAGCATTCCTTCCCTCTAGCGTGTCAGCTACACCACTCAGCTTGGTGTCCTTCTAGAATTTTTTTCTCCTAGAGAAATATTATTTTTCTGTTTACTCTAGAGGGAGAAAGATGGTTAAGGTTGGTGCCTCCAGCTCTATGCTTTGAATATGACACTGAATCGTACTTTAATTTGTCAAGACAGGCTGAAAGAATTGAGCAAACTACAAGGGCACATAGGTATAATTACAGTAACATAAAAGCAGCAGCTCATTTCAAAGCAAAGTATCAAGGAGTAGAAAGATACAGCCTGAATATAACAATCTATAATAGGATTTATATAAATAAGACACTAATGAGTGGCAATTCTTCTTTAGCATTCCATAAAACAATGGTTGGTGTCTGCGCAAGGGTAATATAACATGAGTAATATAAAGGTAATATAACATGAGACAGATCTCAACAGCACTGGAGGGAAATTGAACATTTTAAATCCTCTTGCTTTGATCATGCAGTCAAATTTATAATGAAAAGATGCCTCTGAAATAATATATCATTCTAAAGAGAAATATATTCTTATTGATAAACATTGTTTTAAAGTAAAAAATTTCCAAGTAAAGACTACCTCTCAAAATTATTTTAAATTAAAAACAGCTCGCAGTCAGATGGAAATCTAGTATCAGTTTTATGGCAAAGTGTGCAAAGTTCAATACTCACCATATTTGCTGGGCATTTTTCACAAACAACAGAGGACCCACCGTTATTAGAAACCATCCGATACCCTGGCAGACATACACATGAACAACCTGAAAACAAAAACAAGCTTTTAATCTATACAAAATTGATTTTTTGTCACAGAATACTAAGAACAAATGTTATTTTTTCCTCAAGGAATCAATATAGTTTTTCAGATGTATGCATAAAACACAGAAGTAAGATGTGAAAATTACCCTGTTTTTTAAAAACATGTTCATGCCATTGTTTCTAGGGATAGGTTTTGGGAGAATGTTACAGGGTTGAGTGAAACATGAGGGAGCTAAGGAGGAACACATAAAAGTTGCACTTTTGTGATTTTCTCCAACTCTATCAGTTGGTTTAATAATACCACAGTGCCATCCTTAGCCCGCTCTCTACATCGTCACCAGCATTATGTATCTGAATTCAGTTTTTATCCTTTGAATATGATGAAAAGTAAGCTGAGGGAAGACCTTATTGCCCTCTTCCAATATTGGAAAGGTGCCTACAGTGAGAGCGGGGCTGGTCTCTTCTCACTGGTGACAGGATGAGGGGAAATGGCCTCAAGTTGTACCAGGGTAAGTTCAGGTTGGATATCAGGAAAAACTTCTTTACAGAAGGGTTGTTAAGCACTGCAATAGGCTCCCCAGGGAGGTGGTTGAGTCACCATCCCTGGATGTGTTTAAAAACCGTTTGGATGTGGTGCTCAGGGACATGATTTAGCAGAGGGCTGTTAGTTAGGGTAGTATGGTCAGGTTGTGGTTGGACTCAGTGATCTTGAAGGTCTTTTCCAACCTGAGCTGTTCTATGATTCTATGTTTACCTGCAAAAGTTCATAAAAATATAAAAGTAGTTTTAAAGCTATTTTAAACACTTAACATTTTCCATGTGAACTAAGGCTTATCTTGAAATTTCAGTGAATAACATTGAAATTCATGTAAACACTACTTTCATGGCACTTGCTAATGTTCAATAGCTTTTTTTTTTCCATAAACTTTTTAGCCTCTGTATCACAGACATTTTGCCATATGTTTAAGCACATACTAAAAAATAAAATTGATTCTAAGTGCTAATGAACCGTATTTATTATGTAAACTCCTAAATTTGGCTGCGTAAAAATCACGTGCAAGGATGTGATTTTGCAAGAACCACTAGCATCCTTACCAGCCCACTTTTACAGAACCAGCATTTGTCAAAATGGTGGGTTACCCTGACAGAGATTTAGACGGGACTTGAGATTTCTCACTCAGAGGGTAGTGAGGCGCTGGCACAGCTGCCCACAGAGCTGTGGCTGCCCCATCCCTGGCGGCACTGAGGGCCAGGTCAGCGGTGCCCTGGGCACCCTGAGCTGCTGGGCGGCGTCTTTTCCCACAGCTGGAGCTCGGCGGACTTTAAGGACCCTTCTAACCCAAGCCGCTCCGTGCTTTGGTTCCGTTCGCCCCCCCGCACCGCCACTCGTTGCCGCCCCGCTCACCGCCGGCGCTCCGCCTCTGGTGCGCCCCGCAGGGCCCGCAGGACAGCTGCGAGATGTCGAAGTAGCGCGCATCGCCGCAGTCGCCGGGACGCTGCAGGGGCAGAGAGAAGCCGCGGGCGGATGGCGGCACCCGGAGCAGCGGGAGCAGCCGCAGCAGCAGCGCGACAGCGGTCGCCATGGCTACGGGCGGCCTCCAGCGCTACCCGCCCACGGCTGCCTCGTACGGCGGCCGCGAGGGACGGCGCGGGGCGGGAACGCGTGGCGGGGTGCGCGGGGGGGAGCTACGAGGGGCTGCGCTGGGGGAGCGCGGCTGGGTCAGTAACAGTGCGGTAATGGGGGTTGGCGGCTCGCTTTCTGGGGCCTCACTTGTAGACTGGTTACATAGCACAGTAATCACAGAATCATAGAATGGCCTGGGTTGAAAAGGACCACAATGATCATCCAGTTTCAACCCCCTGCTATGTGCAGGGTTATCAACCACCAGACCAGGCTGCTCAGAGCCACATCCAGCCTGGCCTTGAATGCCTCCAGGGATGGGGCATCCACAACCTCCTTGGGCAACCTGTTCCAGTGTGTCATCACCCTCTGTGTGAAAAACTTCCCCCTAATGTCTAACCTAAACCTCCCCTGTGTCAGTTTGAAACCCTCCCCCCTTGTCTATCGCTATCCAAACGTTAAAGCATGATAAGGAAGTGTAACAGAAGTGCTTTGTGTGTTATTTTTCTGAGAAGAAACCGGCAGCGCAGCTACTGAGGTAACCGCGATGCCAAGGCACGGCCCGCGCCGCCCCGACCGCCTTGAGAAAGCTGAACGCCGGCTGCACGCGCAGAGCCGCTTCTCTCGGGGCTGCCGGACTCCGACTGCGCGCCAAGGCGTCACGCACGCGCACACGGTGCCAGCTGCAGAAGCGCGCCTTACGGAAGAAACCCCGCACCGGGTGCTGGCGGAGTGAGACGGAAGAACTTGCGGGGCTTCGAGGGCAGGGGAGGGGGTCGCGCAGGCGCAGTTGGGTTCCTACGCGGAGCGTTGTGGGAGGGAGCGACGGAGGGCGCCATCTTGGCCGTACTGCGCCGCGAGCTGCGGGGAGCGGCGCTCGGCGCGGAGGCTGTCCCGGCGGCCTGTCCGGTGGGTGGATGCCGTGAGGGACGGCGCCCGGGGTCCCGGGGCGCTCCGGTCACCGAGGGCGCGGGGTTCCCGCCGCGAGCCGGCCGCGTGTCGCCGCTCCTCGGCAGCCCGGCCCTCTCGGAGCCGTTGCGCGGCCGTCGCCCGAGGCCTCCTCGCGCCGCCGGGCTGCCTCTCGCCCTTCCCTCCTCGGCCCCTCCCGTCACCCTGCTCCGGGGAAGCCGGGCTCGCTCCTTGCCGGGCCGGCTCCCGGACGCGGCCGCGCGGCTCCCTGCTCGGCCGCCAACCCGCGGCCCCGAGCTGCGGCCTGCTGGCGGGCGGGATCTGCTTCCCCTCCGGGCGGGCGCTGCGCTGGCTGCGGGCGGAGCTGCGGCTCTGCGGCGCTGGGATCGGCGCCGCCAGCGGCCTGCCCGCCTGCGGCGGTCATCCGCATCTGGCTTCGCGACGGGAAACCGGTGTGCGACAGCCCGTTGCCAGTGCTAGTGCCCGTTTGTAAGACGATTGGAATAACAAATCATCATCACCCCGCCAGCTGTTTGACACTTCTCATACGCACCGGGTTTTGCAGTTGTGACATTTCTGTGAACGTGCCTTCTGGTTTGCACATTCACTGTCGCCAAGCCATTGCAATCTCACTACATTGCAGCAAGAATGTTAGTCAGATTCAGGCTTAGTTTCATAAAATGTTACTTTCTTTTTTTCTTTTCTTTTTTTTTTTTTTTTGAGAGAGAAGTGTTAATTTAGTGAGGTTTTAATGGTATTTGAAATTTGCTAAGATTGTGGAAGTATAGATGTGGCACTGCTTTCTAGCCAACCCAGTCAAGTGCAGAATCTCTTAAATCATTGGTGGGTGTACTTCCATGTTTTTAAATGGGTGGCATGAGGTTGTCAGTCTATTTATGATGTAAATCCCCGTTCTCTGAAGTCCTTGTTCAGGTTATGAATTGGCACGTACATCCTGAAAGTCACCATATTCATTCAGTTAAACAGTTGGATGGCTTGTCTACAGGTCCTGCTGCTTCTTGGTTGTTTAATGTGCAGTGAGTAAAAATGTGTTATCAGATCTTGCTTTTCTGTTTAAGGACTTCTTGAAGTGTCTGGTTTTAACCAGTGAAGGTTGTACATTGTATCTGTGATACATCATACAGAACTTGCCATTTATCATCGAAGAAGTTCTGAGGAGATCTGTTCTGAATGCTGTTTAAGGATTGGGATGAAATTCAGAAATACTACAGATTAAATACATCGGCAAGTAGCAGGGCAGCGGATTTGACTTTTCAAGACATGAAGGCCCTACAAAGAAAATCCTGCCCTTGAATTTCTCCTTGCTTCTGGCATTGCTTTCACATCTGTTGAGAAGATAGATTAAAGTGGGTCCAGCTGGAATGGAGTGAATGGAGTTAACTTTCTTCATAGCAGACAATATGGTGTTCCGGATTTTTGGCTAAACAGTGGTGACGACACCAGCGTTTTGGCTTTCCCTAAGCAGCCTTTGTACAAGGTCAAGGCTTTCTTTTTCCCAGTTGGTATAGACAGGAAGTGGCCAAGAGGTGAGAGCACCCAGCCAAGGCAGCTGACCCAGGGTAACTAAAGAAATGTTTTGTACCATATAGCATCCTGTTCAGCAGCAAAAACTGAGATAGAGGAAGATTTTTGTTCTCCGGATTTTTTGAGGGAAAGGGAGGCAGGATATGTTTTTGGCTTCTAAGGTGGCTATTGTTCTGAGGCAGATCTTCATGTAGGAGTTGGTGAGTGATTTCCTTTGTTTTCCTTTTTTTTTTTTTTTTTTTAAACTTTCCTTTACATGTTAAACTGTTTTTATCTTGACCAAGAGTTTTCTTGCATCCATCTTACTTTCTTCCCTGTCCTGCTGATGGGGATGTGGAGTAAACAATCAACTGCATGGCTGCTGGCTGGAGTCAGTTCACTGCAAAACTGCAGAGGGCTGATGATCTTCAGTACAAGTATTAAACAGGCATTTGTTTTGGTTAGTTTTGTTTATAAAGTGGTGATGTAGAAGTGACCAGAATGTGTTAGTTACAGAATTTGGTCTTTGCTGTTGCTTTTCTGGACTTTGGTGAAATGAGAGTTACTGTGATCAGTAGCTAAGTTGACATCAGGATCTAATGCTTTATACTTGTTACTGAACAAGGGTTTTTGCAGGAGATGTTTGCAAATGCTTGTTAACAGGGCCTTGGGTTCTTGTTCTTTTTAAAGGGATGTAGTTGTGTGCTCTGGAAGCTTATCTTTGTTCTGACAGTATTACACTGTGTGTTGCGTGTCATTAGATGATAATGTTGACAATTTGGATGTGATCAAGTCAGTGTATTAAGTGATTTTGAAAGGCAGTTAATATTTAGGGAAGACACTGAATTCTGCTTTGTGAATTGAGGAGCTCATTGAAGGTTCTTCTCACTACATATGTTTGCTCTTTTGATTGTCTTCACTCCTTACATTAAGTATGGTGCTGGACTGGTGAGTAGCATGCTCTTGTGAACTGTGAAAGAAGGTGGATTGTGGAAGAATGGACAAGTACTATAATCTTGAGATGGACTTACGCATCTTTCAAGATCTCAAAGACTTGAGGGTTATCCCCGATATATAGTCGGTCTGTTTGATTTCAGCGGTTTGGTATGACACAATTGATGAACCTCATCATGTTTTCATCATTTGCAGAAGTCAACTTTTGAATATCCTTTGCTTTGGAAACACAAAGATGTAATGTTCCTTGGAACGTGGAAGGAGGCCTTCATTTTATCACCGATTGTGGTTTCATTACATGCTTGGCTTTAATATTAGCCGCTGCTATGGAAGCTGCAGCAATGTAGCAAAGTTTGTAAACCGAAGTACAGATATCAGCCATTAATTATGTTTCATTTTCTTTCCACAGTTAAGTTGATTTTACAGAATTTATCAGGTCTTCCAAGCAGAAACAGGTAAGCTGCCAAAAGCTTAACACTTCTCACTGAGTATTGTGACAAGATCGTACACGGCAGTTTATTCGCACAGACTTGTGGCTGGGAACTAGGATATGCTCTCCTGAGTGCATGTGGCTGCTGCAATTAATACTCTGACTACATGAAAGAGACAACATTTCTGAACGCTGAGAAAAACACGTGGTTGCAGAACTGATCACTGGTTAGAGCAACTTGTCAAAGCAGTAAAGTCATCACTGCTGTTGAATTACTTCATTTTCCAGTGTCGCAGTTACCCTTTTTCTTTTCTCCTTTTTTCATCTAGTATTTTTAGTGTTTATGTTCACAAACGTCCTGTTCAAAAGTAAACAGGAATTTTTGTTCCTTAGGACTGGTCTGAGCTCTCTGGCATACAGCAGCTGTGCCGTGAAAGACTGTAGGCGTTCTTCAGGTATCATGGATGGAGAGGATAACTGAGGTGGATTTGGTTGCCCTTAGGATAGGGAATGCTGATAGACTTGTGCAGGTGGAGTAGCTAATTGTTTTGACTAATCAACTTTCAGTGAATCTTGTTTTAATCCTATTGTGAACTCGCGAAGGTGTTCTTTTTTATTTTGCTATCTTTTCTCTTGATTGAGACAAGGACAGTCATTTAAAAAGGCTCTAGTTTAAGTGTTAAGATACTGTAATAGCTGAGTACTAAAGACGTGCTATCATGTGTACCTTTTTGTCTGCAGGTGATTTTTGCTGTGGGTTGAGCTCAGCATGGCTGTAGTCATCCGTTTGCAGGGGCTTCCTGTTGTTGCGGGTCCTGCAGATATCCGTCGTTTCTTCTTGGGATTGAATATTCCCGATGGAGGTGTGCATATTATTGGAGGAGAAATTGGGGAGGCTTTTATTATATTTGCAACAGATGAAGATGCACGGCGTGCCATGAGCTGTTCGGGAGGGTTTATCAAGGACTCGCGCATAGAGCTCTTTCTCAGCAGCAAGGCAGAAATGCAGAATACCATAGAAATGAGCCGGAAGCGATTTGACCGTGGGGGACGAGAAGCTATGCCTGGGTCTAGACGAACAGGTCCTAATGGTTCTGGTGGATCAGGTGTTGGAGATGTTCCACATTTAGTTGCAGCATTTACAAAAGGGATAAATAAACCTGGTTACGGTCCACCAAATCATCCAGAGGCTGGCTTCCACACCAATGGTACGAGACAAGGTGATGTAGGTATGCCTAAATCAGGCTATCAGTCAAGAAAGGATTCTCATGCATTTAACCCAGATGATCTTTACTTATTTCTACGTGGTATACCTTACTCTGCAACAGAAGATGCAGTACGCGATTTCCTTTCTGGGATACGTGTGGATGGAGTCATTCTGATTAAGCATCGTAATGGTTTGAATAACGGTAATTGCTTGGTAAAATTTGCTACGCCTGGTGATGCCTTAGAAGGACTTAAGCGGCACAGACAGTACATGGGTCAGAGGTTTATAGAAATAAGTCCAACTACGGAGGAACGGTGGATTGAATATGGTGGGAGGGTAGACATGCCAAATGAAATGGATCACTTTTTCTGCAAAGAACATTCTCCAAGAAGTTCAGGCTACATGCATGCAAGGAAACATTCCCATTCAAGATCACCTAGGAGACAAAGAACACGTTCTCGATCGCCTTCCGGCCAGGAATATTACATACACTTAAGGAATCTATCAACTAATGTGGAAAAGAGAGATTTGAGAGAATTTTTCCCTGATCTGGATATAAGCAACAAACAAATAAAGATTTTATCGGAAAAGCATCAGAGGAGGACTAGAGATGCCTTCGTGATGTTAAGGAACGAGAGAGATTATCAGGCTGCTTTGGAATGTCATAGAAAGGTTCTTCTCAATCGTTCTGTTTACATTTTTCCAATTTCAAGAAAGTCAATGTTGAAAATGCTTGATTCTTACGAGAGGAAAAGATCACAGGAAAGAGGTCATCCTGGGCAGGCCTTAACAGAAAAAAGTTATCGGGAAGGTCATTCTGGCCTGAAGATATGTGCTTATGTAAGGAATTTTCCATTTGATGTCACCAAAGTTGAAGTGCGAAGGTTTTTTGAGAGGTTTGATATTGATGAAGATGATATTTATTTGCTCTATGATGACAAAGGTGTTGGGCTGGGAGAGGCGTTAGTGAAGTTTAAATCTGAAGAACAAGCCATGAAAGCAGAAAATTTAAATCATCAACGGTATTTGGGAACAGAGGTATTACTGAGACTTATATCTGAAGAGCAGATGCAGAAATTTGGTGTAACTGCTCCATTCTCTACACCCAATGAAATGCAGGGTCACTCACATGCGTATAACAGAGGTGAGCTGTCCCGTCCGGTCGGCTCACCTGGACCACCACAAGGGCCACCCATGCATTCATTTGGTCCCCCTGGGAACTTCAGGCATCCTTCTGAATTTAGGCACCCCCCTGAGAATTTCATGGGCCCTCCTAAGGATTTTAGAGGTCCACCGCCCCTCATGGATTTTGGTGGTGACAGCAAACCTTTTGGCAGAATGGAATTCGGGAATAATAAAATGGGAAATTTTCCTGAAGGAAGATTTATGCCGGACCCGAATTTCAGTGGTGGTTCTGACCGGATTGTTCCTATCCGCTTGAAAAACTTACCTTTTAAAGCAACTCCTAATGAGATTCTGGATTTTTTCTATGGCTACAGAGTTATACCAGAGTCGGTTTCTGTACAGTACAATGAACAAGGATTACCTTCAGGTGATGCCATCGTCGCTATGACAAACTATGAGGAAGCTATGACTGCTATTAATGAATTGAATGATAGGCCAATTGGTCCACGGAAGGTTAAGTTGAGTTTGCTGTAGAGGAAGTAAGGATGCTCTAGAATAAAACGTTATAGATTTGACAGTATTGACGGTTACATTCACTTTTTTAATTACTAGAAGATGCAGAAGAAACGGTTTTCAACAACGGTTGTAAATAGTGTCTAATTCGGTTAAGTTCCTGGTTAAAATATCTGTATTGTTAAGATGCGAGAAATATATAGTGCCTACTTCTTACAACGGAGAAGAGCTTCAAAGTTCTGGAGGACATTCAGTATCTTACGTCGAGGTATAAAAGCATGGAGTTTTAATGGTTTTTTTTTAAGGAAAAAAATGCTGGGTTGTTATGTTTATTTTTTTTTTTTTCAGTTTGCTTTAATTCCTCGTTCCCTGACTTTGCATCAGATAAAATTGTAAGTGTTGGTTGAATGACCATGCACAGTTCAAACAGAAAAACTTCAGCGCTACCTGCATTAGTGAAAACAGTTCTTATTGAGGTTAGCTTAATAAAACTAAAAAATGACTGGGCTTTTTTTTTTTTTTTTTTTTTTTTTTTTTTTAATAAGCTGTTCGGTTTTATGTGGTTCCAGGCCTCGCTATTAGAAGAAAAAAGATCTTCCTGTTCACATTAGCTGGGTTTGCTGGCTTTTCAACTTTTTAAAATAAAAAAGAAATTGCTATTAAGTGTCTGTCCTATTTAAAAGTTGTACGGTTACTGATCTCAGCTGTTTCTTAGCACATGTGGATCTTAGTGAGAATGATCCTGGCTGCTTTCTGTGGAAAGACAGATCTGTTAGTATTTGCCAACATAGCAATGAATATATGGTTTATAAAGACTCCAAAAATCTATACAAATGAGGTTGATAGGCTTTCTTTTCACTCAGTGTAGTTGTTCCTCTGAGGCAGAAAATGGATATTGGAGTTGGGTCAAGAATTTTGGCTTCAGCCAGAACTTTCAGTAGCCTTGTTTCACCTTTACATGCTCACAGTATGAATGTTAACTTGCTGATGATGGTGTGGATGCGTTCTAGGTCAATATATGATCAGTTTGAAATAACATCTGTCACGGGCAACTGTGCTGGCAACCAGCTATGTTATTCTCTTACATAGGAAAATAATCTCGATTAGTATTCAGAATGCTGTGACTGGTTTGGTAACAACATAAGTAAATTTTAGTAAGAAATAAAAGCTAGCCCATTTGAGGAAAAGGCACTGCATTCAAAATTCAGGCTTATTAGGGAACCAGTTCTGTGGATAATACTTCTTGTTGACCTTAATTCTTTTATAAAAAATCATAATCACTACATCTCATGTAATGTCTTTAGAGAAATGAACAAGACAAACCCCTTTTGCTTCCGTATCCTTTAAAAAGATAATATAGTTTCATTTCTTGAGGCATACTATTTGTCTTGTGCTAGGAGAACTGTACTTTCTGTGCACAGATTTCCTGGAGCAAAATCTTATGAGGAGTGGCTGAAGGAGCTGGGTTTGTTTAGTCTGGAGAAGAGGAGGCTCAGGGGAGACATCATCTTCTCCCAGGCAACAAACAGGACCCAAGGAAATGGCTGCAAGTTCTACCAGAGGAGGTTTAGGATGGACATGAGGAAGAACTTTTTCTCTCAGAGTGGTCAGGCACTGGAATGGCTGCCCAGAGAGGTGGTGGAGTCGCCGTCCCTGGCAGTGTTCAAGAGGCATCTGGATGAGGAGCTGCGAGATGTGGTTTAGTGCTAGTGGTGGCAATGGTGATGAGAAGATGGTTGGACTGGATGATCTTACAGGTCTTTTCCAACCTTGTGATTCTATGATTCAGTCAGAATGCTAATGCCAGGTGTGTAGATGAGGGTTCCTCAGAGCAGGAACTTAGATGGGGTCAAACTTTCAGACTCTGTATATACTTATCTTCTTTTGCTGACTGTTAGGAATTAACTTCAGAGGTGTTACTGTTCTGTATACTAATCTGAATTTAAATGCAATTTAAAAAAAATGATGCTTTTACTTCCTAGTTGCTCACAAACATGCCTAACAAAGCCAACAGACTTTGCAGGGAAAATAATAGCATGAATACAAGAATCCTCAAAATAAAGTTGTTTGGTCTAATTGTGCTACTGAGAACTTAATCATGATTATTTTTGTAAGCTAATATCATTTGTACTATTAAGTCTTGCCTCTGCTGCCAGCTGTTGTGTGAAAGAAACAATATTCACCTTCACTTTTACATGATCTGTTCTTTCTAAAGTTCTTCCATCTACACAGTAGTGACTGTCAAGTACTAAATACAAATAGATAAAATTTTTACCGTGATTCTAAAGTAACGTTGGTACACTCATACTGCTGTAACAAAAAGGATTTGGAGGCCAAAAGGGTAAGAAAATTGATTGCTGGTTAAGTGTGAGATTCGTGTCGGAAAATGCCTACTTCATTGGCATTGCCTGCTTACAGGAAAGTCTGAGTAACCGCTGATAAGGGACTGCTCATTTTTGGGTTGGTAACCTTTTCTTGTCCTAACCAATTAGTTGAGAATTGATGTAAACACTTTCCTTCCTTATTAATAATTCAGTTTTGAAAGCATAGTTATATACCTTTATGCATATAGCTGTACCACACTGGTACAGTCATTATTAACCAACCATTTGTTTAGGAAATGGACAGCAGTGCATGACTGAATCTGAAATGGTAAAGTGGTGGCAGCAATGGTCCTGATGTGATACAAATATATATCTAAGTGCCTATCTGTTGAAACGGAGACATCAGTTACCTTGGTACTTCTTAGCTTTTGTTCATTAGCACTCCTTGTCAGCAGTAGTTAAATGATTATACTGCGCTGTAAAACTAATGGCTGGGTTTTTAACCAGAACCCCATATAGCAACGTTTTCACTCAGATTTTTATCACAGCAGTTTTTTGGCAAAACTTACATACTTGTTCTGTCAGGTGTGAGTTGCACACTTGATGTCAGTGAAAAAGGATAGCATCAATATTAATGGTTTGGTTTATTTCCTTAACTGAGGGAGTATTTGTTTATTAACTTGAAACTGTTTTCCCAGTTACAGGTTTAAATTCTTATTTATACACATGCTAAACACCTTAAAAACTTTAAAAAAAAATCTTCATTTTTCATAGAATTTATGAAGATCCGTTTATACATTTAGCAAATAGAAAAGTTGAAAATTACACTCATAATGTGTAATTTCTTACATGTCTGATGGAAATGGTAACTTAACCAGTTAAATACATGAAATTGAACTATATATAGGGAATCTCAACTAACACAAAAAATGTCAACTATATAAAATGTCAACTGGATTCAGTATGAAGGCACTTTTAAATACAAGCAATGCAGTACTGGAAGAAGATACTGGGCTAGATCCTTAATCATGAATGCTTCATTCTGTATGTGGAATGGAATCAGAAGTCAAGTCTCAGGAATGAGAAAATTGTCAGCTGAGTGCACTTCTTGAACATTGTGTTCTAGTACCTGAAGGGGGGCTACAAAGCTAGAATGTCTTTTTATAAGGACATGTAGCAACAGGATGAAAGGAAATGGCTTTAAACTGGAAGAGGGTAGATTTAGGCTAGATACAGGAAGAAATTCTTTACTGTGAGGGTGGTGAGACACTGGAACAGGTTGTCCAGTGAGGCTGTGGATGCCCCCTCCCTGGAAGCATTCAGGGCCAGGCTGGATGGGGCTGTGAGCAACCTGGTCTAGAGGGAGGTGCCCCTGCCTATAGCAGGGGGTTGGAACTACATGATCTTAATGATCCATTCCAACCCAAACCATTCTATGATTCTATCTAAGCTTAAATGAACGACTACGCTATTAGAACATCTGAGCCTGTTTAATACAGGGTTATATTTAAATTTTTCATTTTCTAGCTACTGTAACTGCCCACTTTCACCAAGTTAACATTCCATTCTTTGAAACATCATTTGTTGTCTGTACACTTTACCATTAGTACTAACTCTCACTCCTGTTGCAATTTTTAAAAGTACAACCACAGTGAAGTTCTTGATTAATACATAAATACCTTTATGTAAAAAGATGTCTTTTCTATTTGCCATTCAATTAAGACACTCAGACATAACAGTTTAGTTATGTCTCTTTGTTCTTAGCATCTATATTTCTTCCTCCTCTTCTTCATCTTCCTCCTCTTCTTCTTCCTCTTCATTTTTCCTTGTGGTACTGCTAGAAATCTAAAATGAAAATGCAACATAAGTATGTTTTTAATCATACAACAAAAACTTCTCTGTTGGCACTGAAAGTACTCTTATGGTTTTATTGATGGTGGCGTTTATCCCTTAATCTGCAACTTACAGCAAAATGCACAATGCCAACAGAAAGATAAGGCACAAAATAGAAAAACAGCATATGAATCTTAAAAGCTTAACATTCCCATAGTCTTGAGAGCTACTTATATGATAAGGAAAACTACTGATTGAATTAATATTACATGCTGCTGGTTTTTAAGTCAGGTCTTTGCTAGGTTGGCTGCGTAGAGAGCAGGTTGAAGGTGAGTGTTAGGGCATGATCTTATCTTGAAGACATCAGATCTTTTCAGTCAGCTGAGAAACTCAGAACTGTGCTGCTCTACGATATTTCTGACTAGAAGTCTTGATTCACATATGAACATTTTTTTCCAATACATTTTTCCCATCAGAATGATTTAAGATTCTGCCATCAATAGTTCTTTTCTAAGGAGAGCTCAATCCTGTTAGATTCTGCACAAAATATGGAGTATTTGAAATTTGAGGTAGAGTGCAGGTGTTTGTTCCCCCCTTCAAATAAAGGAACATTAAACTCAACAAAGACAGCTCTCTACCTGTCTGTGTCATCTGGAGTGTTTTTGAAAGATGATTCTAGTTCTGGCAGTACTCTGAGAGAAGCTGCTGCTCTAACATTGTTTCCTTAGTTTTCTCACATGCACTTGAACTTACAAACTTCAGTACTGAAGACAAAACTTTTTTTTCCCCCAACACCCTATTTAAAAGCTGGTTATTCTGACTTTTGAAATGTCACAGTTTGTACAGCTGTGTATGTATTTTTGTGCATAAAAGTAAACTATCAAAGCAATGAAAGCAGAAGAATCCTCAGTTGTGTTGACGCTCACAAAATGCATTATCTAGGTCTACACAAATGCTTGGTTACAAATTTCTGAATGTAACAGGAAAATTGAGTTAATCATTAGATAGAACTGCATGGAGTCTAAATGCCTAAAATACCAATCTTTCATACTGTGAAAGAAGAAAGACAACAATGCCAATCTGTAATCAGAGATAAAGGAGAGCTGCAAATTGAGCCTCTTAAGGTAGCTTTGTTTCAATAGGTTAAAAAAAGATTGGAAAATTAAGTCTTAAGAAATTCAGATGCTCTAGAAAGAAGAGAGCTCAAATCACGTTTCTGAATAAAAGCTGCTTTCCACTTCCTGCTAATTTTAGCTTTTTCTCCTTGCTAGTCACATACAGTGTTAAACACCTTGCTGTGTACACTTCTAACAATGGTTAAAATACTTTGCTGCCCACAGAATGGCTATC